CTGGTGTTGGCCAGAGTGGCCACCAGGGAAACCTGGGGAGGGCTAGCCTCCCACTAGTTCGAATTAAGGGGCTACACACCCCTTAATTCGAACTAGTTAAATTCGAACTAGGCTTAATCCTCGTAAAATGAGGTTTTCCTAGTTCGAAGTAAGCGCTCCGCTAGTTCAAATTAAGTTCGAACTAGCGGAGCGCTAGTGTAGCGGCTAAGAAAGGTTATTTTGAATTATCTAGTTCGATTCAAATTCGAACTAGCGGACCGCTAGTGTAGCGGCTATGAATGTTAGTTCGAACTAACGTCCGTTAGTTCGAACTAACATTGTAGTGTAGACATACCCTAGGATACAAAGCAAAAGAAACAAAACCACTTGGCTATTTCTACACTGAAACCTCAGCACAAACTCTCCACACTCACCCTAGAACCTCTGCACCTCCAAACCAGGGCTGTCTCCCCACCCTCAGGTCTTTTTCCCCTTACTTCAGTGGCAGCCCAGCCAAAAGACTCCAGATGACTAGGCACAGTACAATTATCGGTAATGAAACCGAAAAGCTGCAAAGCACTCAACCAATGCCACCCAAACTAGCATGATGCAGCCTTCACATGGGCCAGTGAACAAGATGCACCAAAGCCACACCCTCTGTTACACCACACCCGGTGCTTGCCAGCAAAGCCAGCCCCAGTGTCATCTGGGGACAAATCGTGCTTCCTCCCTCCCCACTCCTGCCAGGCCTGCTGGGCCCGGAGCTACATCCTCATGGCAGGCTCCTTGTCAGTCTGTGGCAGCTCCCGTGACAATCCTGGGGCAGAAGGTCCCCAGCCGGTGAGGGGAGTGGTGAGGCCGGTCCAGCGAGGGATGGAAGAAGGGGAGGAGGGGGTGAGTGAGAGAGCTGGAGCTTTGAGGGAAATGTCAGAACAGAGGTGGAGACCTGAGGGATGTAATGGGGACGAGGGTGGGAATTTGGGGAGAAAGGTGGGGCAGAGGCTTTTCTTTGAGGTAATAGAAAAGGAGGGCACAAAGCCTCTGGGATCCTATTATGAGACGTTAGAGAGGTGGAGAACCCTATGAATTGATGGGTTTTGCTCAGACCAATTCACCAGTTCCTCTTGCTGACAGAGCAAAATAAGATCTGGACAGGATGTAATGACTCCCTGATGGCCCATAAGTGATTCAGGGAAGAGAGCTCTGCAGTGACATTGTAGAAAATCTCAGGAGCCTTTATGAATGAAGAGATGCAGCAGCCTGTCCCGGATCTGTTTGGTGCTCACCCCATAGATGATGGGGTTTAGCATGGGGGGCATCAGGGAATACAGGTTGTTAATGAGAGAATGGAAATGCTGAGGCATCTTCTGGTCAAATCGGGATGTGAGGGAGAGGAGGAGGCTTGGGATGTAAAACAGTATAATGGAACAGAGGTGGGAGCCACAAGTCCCAAAGGTCTTGAGCCGGACGTCGTTTGTGGGGAGGTTGAAGATGGCCCTGAGGATCTGGGTGTAGGACACAACAATGAAAATTGCATCCAGACCCATGACACAGAATAGCAAGAAGAGTCCGTAGTGACTACTAGCTCGGGTATCACCACATGCCAGCCCCACCACAGCGACGTGCACACAGTACGGTTGGGGGATCATGTTGGTTCTGCAGTATGACCACTGCCTTGCAAGCAGGACCATGGGCAGTACAATCATGCTGCCGCGCAGTAAGACAGCCAGGCCAATCTTGCACACCATGTGGTTTGTCACGATGGTAGAGTGTCTCAGGGGATGGCAGATGGCCACGTAGCGATCCAACGCCATGGCCACTAAGATCCCAGACTCTATTGAAAAAAAGCAGTGAATGAAGAACATCTGGGTGAGGCAGGCATTGAAATTGATCTCCCTGGAATTGAACCAGAAGAGGATCAGCATTTTGGGCAGTGGACCAGATCAGCTACTGCCAACATGCAGAGGAAATAGTACATGGGCTCATGGAGGCTCAGCTCCCTTTTCACAATGAACAGGATGGTGATGTTCCCCAGGAGGGCTATGATGTACATGGTGCAGAAGGGGATGGAGATCCATGTATGGGCGGTCTCCAGGCCAGGGATGCCCTGCAGGATGAAGGTGGAGGTGTTGGTGAAGTCAGTTGTGTTGGAATCTGACATGAAGCAAGGGAGAATGAGTTCAACTGTGAAGTAGAACAATGTTTCCTGCATGTACCGTACGTTCTGCTGATTTTTTGTTCTGTCCTTGGGGTGTAGGATGATGGTCACAGGAAAAATGCCTGGAATAAGATACAACGTTCATATGAGACACAACATGCACCATTGGTAGCTATTGTCGTGGCTGAAACAGATTGGTTTCGTCATGCCCTGAAAAGTAACATTTTTGTTATTAGGAAAATTACTGATGAAAAACTGACCCTTCTCATGTGAATTTCATATTATATGGAGCTCCATATATCTATACTATGTCATGGTCTGGAAAACTTTAATAGGCACAACAAGTAATCCTGTGGCACCTTGGTGAGCAACAAAAATACATAGTATCATGAGCTTTTTTAGGCATAATCCACTTGATCAGTTGATGAGCTGGAGAGGAATAACAGAAGTCAAGTGTTTTATTACAGAAAAAAGGTACTTGTCAGTTGCTGGACTGGTGCTTGTCATGGCTCCTTCCCCACGATGAATGCAGAAGTGGGGGCCCCTAAAAGTATCCCAAACCTTATCTTTCCAGGCTTTGGTATAAAAATCTGCTGCCACCACCCAGGTAAGGATAAGAAAATCAGATGGAAGATCACTTGGAAAATCTCACCCCTAAAGTACAAACCAGGACACAGAAATTAACCAATACCAGGTTAATACAAAGAAAAGAGAAAGGTCTTTTATTATCAACACAATATTCCCATTGCAAGCATAATGACTAGATGGTAAAGTCACAAAGTAATAAACTCATCAGAGGGAGGAAACCCACCATGGACCAGGAGCTTAGCATCAAAGGAGAGGAAAGAGGAAACCCCATTTTTAAATGCACAGACATCAGATACAATGTCCCAAACCATAAAACAATAAAACCAAATGGATTTATCTAAATTTTACCCTACTTACAGATAATGAAGAGTCTTTTCTTGGAGGGAGACATTCTTTCTGTCCCCCTCAGTAGCCGGAGAGAAAATTCCCCAGGGACAAAAGAGGGAAAACCCCCAAATTCCTTTTTTCCAGTTTGAAATTCCTAGCTACAGTCCTATTGGCCAACTCTACCTGGCTTAGGTATAGTTAACCCCTTAGTCCCCAGGCTGCTGGTTAAGCTTCATGATCATGACAGTGCTAATCATGCTAATGAAGTGGGCTGGAAGTGTCCCATACTTACCTTTTGATGTAAAAAAACCCCAGAGATGTTAAAGGCAGGGGCTTTGTAATGGGACATCCGGTTAATGTTTTTAGTCAAGCCCAGGGAAACAGTGTCACATTTGCAGATAAAGGTCAATTCTGCACCCTCCCTTAAATTGGCTAGTGAAATTCCTTTTGAAGAAGAATGGCTCCTTTTCGATCCAGATTGAGTGCCCAGGTGGGGTAAAATGTTCCCCTTCAAGAAGCAATGGGCTTAAACTGCAGCAAGGGAGGTTTAGGTTGGACATTAGGAAAAAGTTCCTAACTGTCGGGGTAGTCAGACGCTGGAATAATTTGCCCAGGGAGGTTGCGGAATCTCCATCTCTGGAGATATTTAAGAGTAGGTTAGATAAATGTCTATCAGGGATGGTCTAGACAGTATTTGGTCCTGCCATGAGGACAGGGGACTGGTCTCGATGACCTCTCGAGGTCCCTTCCAGTCCTAGTATTCTATGATTCTATGTGTTACTATTTCTCATGTCTGATTTTGGGCCATTTATCCTTTGCCACAGAGACTTTCTGATTTGGCCAATATCCATGGCAGAGGGTCATTGCTGGCACTTGATGGCATAGATCACATTAGGGGATGTGCAGTTGTATGAGCCCCTGATGCGGTGGCTGATGTGGTTAGGGGCTGTGATGGTGTTGTGTGTCTAAACATGTGGACAGTTGACAGAGAGGTTTATTGTAGGGGTAGGTTCCTGGGTGAGGTGTTATGTGCCAAAGGGGGAGCTGTAGTCATCATGATGAGGTCAAATTATGAACAGGAGGCCACCAGATGACTCACCAACACTACATTCTACAGGCCTCCTTCCTCTGATCCCAATGAGGATCAAGCCTACACAGACAACACCCTCCCCCTCCCCCTCAAACACATCCAGAAATCTGGGATGTCCAATCATCTCAGGCATCAGCATCCTTACAGCAGGATTATCCAGCTATGTTAACTCTCTCCTGTGACTCCTCCATTCCGCCATGCTTTGTGACATGGACTTATGGACACAAATAGACTTAACTTTGGACAATTTGCTTCATGTAACCCATCAATCTTCATGTCATAATCCCCTGGGTCTGTCTATTCTATTTTGGTGAATGTATCTTTCTTCTGTGTAAAGTTAGATCTATGGTGTATGGAATGCTTTGTGGTTTTAAAAGTGCAAAGGCAAGCCATCAAGTGTGTTTCCCTCAAGGTCTGATCCACTGCAAACATCCTCTTTTGTCCTTTAAGTCTTAGCAGGGGTTGGTCCCAGGAAGTCACGTGACCTCCCTCACTGGTAGGGATTGGCCAGGTGACTTCCCATCTATGGGTGGAAAGTACAAACAGAATTCCTACCCAAAGTGGAGTTTATAAAACAATAGGAAACTAGCAGGGCTTTGTCTTTTGGCTGGCTGGACACACCCCAGGGAAGGAACCAAAGACCCCAGGGTGAGGGACAGCCCTGGTTTGGAAGGCTTAGCTGGCAAAGAAACAATTTTAGGGTGAATTTGTACTGAGGATTTAGTGTCAGAATTAGCTAAGCGTTTTCTGTTATTTTGAATTTGTAATTTACTTTGCTCTGCCTGTTCTCACCTATTACCACGTAAATCCTACTGCTTGTACCTAATAAAATCACTTTTATTTACTATCAAGCCCATTGTAAATATTGTTACCTGGGGGGACAACCAGTGTGCACATTACCCCTTTCATTGTTAAAGGGTGACTTACCCAAATAATTCAGTTTGGGTTTGATCCCATTTGGGGAGTGGTATCCCAGGAATCTGGGCCTTAAACGGGGGGGGGCGAAAGGGGGGAGGGCAGGGATCTTAGTTCGGGACCTTGGCTGGAGGAGACCAGGGAAATGGCCCAGCAAGACAGATCGGTGAGAAGCCCCAGAGAGTGAGAAGGTAAGTATCAGTAGCCTTGTTAGTACCCCAAGAAACCGCCCCCCAAGGGGTCCTCTGTGACCACATCCTGTCACTTCTCCCCTGACCCTATGCAACCAGCATCCCTATCTGTGTTTGAGACACCACTCACTTCTTAAGGAAACTATAGAGCATCAGTCTTCCTGAAAATGCCAACCTGGCCACCATGGATGTAGAAGCTCTTTACATCAACATTCTACACAAGGATGGACTGCCAGGAATGCTCATATGCCAACGTTTTTGTGGCTGATCTCAAACAACGTTTTCTCAGCTCTCATCCCCTACTACTCTTAAGGTGCACCTCCATTGCACCAAAGGTCAAAATAAGATCAGCAATTTGAGCTATGCAAATTGCGTATCTAATTTCGATCTTATTTCAGAATAGCTTCTTTTGTAATCTGCCTATGTATAGACAGTGCCAAATTTTGAAATAACTCGCTATTCTGAAATATCCCTTACTCCTCATGGAAATAGGTTTACAGGGATGGCAGAATAGCAAGCCCATTATATTTCAAAATAATGTGCTTGCTGTTAACATGTGGGATAGCTATTTCAGGATACCTCCGTACCCCGAAATAGCACTGCCGTGTCGATGTAGCCTTACTCTACTGACACTAATCGATGACATCGTCATCATAGGGACCTACAGAAAGAAGACTGTTGAAGAATTCCACAGGGATACCAACAATTGCCACCCCACCATCAACTTTACTGTGGACCAGTTCAGAGAAGAGATCCACTTCCTTGACACTACAGTACATGATGGCCACATTAACGCCACCACATACTGGAAACCTACTGACAACTCTTATTACCTACATACCTCTAGCCAGTATCCAGGATACTTCACACTATTGACTGTTTACAGCCAAGACCTGTACAGAGTCAAACACCAAGGGGTGTGGCCCATCTTGAAAAGTGCTTAAAACTGTCCCAGTGAGAAGCCCTGGCACTGCTTTGTCTTTGAAGAGATGAATCTCAGGTAACAGCCCCCTGTGACCAGTTAGAGCCCTGCAATGCCAGGGGAGGAGGGGACAGCGTCTGGGCATGAACACACCGCTGGCTCCTCAGCTTCTTACTCTCCTTAGAGATTTGCCTTGGAGGGTTCTGAGCAATCCATGGGTCACAGCCTCAGACTTTTGTTTTGTATTGTCCATCTTCTACTCCCGTTCCTCCTGACGGAACCTCTGGGCCATGACAATGCAGCCAAATCAGAGCTGGAGGGATCAGCCAGGGTGGGAAGATGCAGGAAACAGAATGGCATTTTGACCCATAGAAAGAGAGGAAACCCACCCCTTGCAACAAGGACCACAGACTTACTTGCTATCCCAGCACACCCATGTTGCACTGGGTTTGCCGAGCAGGGGAGCTCCTCAGCAGAGGATGGTACCTGTGAATCCTGGGATGGAAGTGTCTTCCCTGGGAATCTGCCTCAGGTAGCTGTGCCCCTCAGCTCTCTCACCACACCGTCAACAGTAGCCTCCCCTGCTCAGAGCCGAGGCAGAGCTTGGCACCGTTTATAAGACAGCTGTGCGCCGTCCCATGGGGGCATCACTAATCATCTAGAAGTGAAGCATCATCTGGATGTAAGCAGGCTGGACACTGGAAACTCTCTAGCCAACGTCTGTTTCCATTTCCGCGTCTCCGTGCTCAGGTGTATCAGTAAACAGTAATTAAGGGATATTCCCAGAGGGAGATGAGAAGATTCAGGCTACCTGCTGAGTCAGAGAGGAATTGGCTGCTCTGTGTACTTGTGTGTATTTTACAATCAGTGTTGATTTAGAGACCTGGAGACAGGTGACCAAAACGAGAGACGAACACTTCCTGCAGTGAGTCGTGACTGTCATAAAGGGGTCAGAGATCCGCAATCATCACCAGTAACTAGCAACATACAGGTAGAATCTCCTCAATCCTCCGTCCTTTCCCACTTTCCCATCAGATCTTCCATTTTGATTGCAGATTCCACATTCCTCACACCAGCACCCCTTAAGGTTCCTGGCAGTAGGTTACTGGGGGGGGCCCACACTCTGGGTCACAGGGAGGCTGCACCACTGCTCTACATCTCTGGGCATCACCCCCAGTGAGGGAGTTACCAGGCAACCACAGCCCATGGCCCTGGCTGGCCATGCAGAGCCACAGCCAATCAGGGTCTTTGTCCTGCTACCAGGGCAAAGCAGCAGTTATGAGTCCAGGCCATTGGTCAGGGCACGGCACCAACGAACCCCTGGCTCAGGCCTGTGTTCAGGGCTGAGCATCCAACAGTCAGTTCTGAGACCCAGTCTGGCCCTCAGTCAGGGTGGGCAGTGAAGGGTCTATGGCTCAGGATTGTTGCCAGGTGTGACCTGTGAACAGTTATTAGCACCTTGGCCTTGGCCAGGGAAAGGTCTGTGACTGAGGCCTCTAGTCAGGGCCGAATCTGACAATACAAGCCTCAGGTCTCAGTCAAGATAGACAGTAAAGGGTTGAGATGTGAGGGGGTTGGGCATCCTAGCTACGTGTCTGACAGTCACAGCCTCCTTGGCCTAGAAAGCTGAGACAGCTTGACAATTGTTGGGGTGATGGGGCAGAGGTGCATGGTCCTTCTCAATGGCACCATGCCTCAGCCAGGTGCACTAATGAAGGCAAGCAATTCGGCCTCTTGTTGAGTGGGGAATCCAGCTAAACCACACTATTAGGTTCTGTGGCCAGACTATGGTTGGGTGCTATTTCCTGCCCTACCCTATCGTGGTTACGTGGATTCTTAGGGGATCCTCTGCTTCCACTGGGTTGAAGACCAGAGGCAATCCCCGTGACTCCTCAATGCCTTGGTCACTGACTGGCTCCAGCAGCTCTGGCCTGCCTTTAGCTTGCTGGATATCCACTGCAGTATCCACTGGTATTTTTCATGGTATTTAGTCATTTTAAATCCTCATGGTAAATTTGAAAGGGGCCCGAGAAGATAGCATCTAACGGCATAAAAGAGCACATTTAAGAGAGATACATTCAACAGTAACAAGTCACTGGGATTAGATGGCATTCACCCATGAGTTCTGAAAGAACTCAAATGTGAAATGGAGGACTATGCACTGTAGATTGTAATGTATCTTTTAGATCAGTTTCTGTGCCTAATGATGGGAAGATAGCTTATGTGATGACAATATTTAAAGAGGGCTCTAGAGGTGAACCTGGAAATTACAGACAGGTAGGTCTAACGTGAGCACCGGGCAAATTAGTTGAAATGATAGTAAAGAATAAAATTGTATAACACTTAGATGAGCATAAATTATTGGGGGAAAGTCAGCATGGTTTCTGTAAAGGGAAATCATGCCCTACTAATCTGCGAGAGTTCTTTGAGGGGGTCAACAAACATGTGGACAATGGGGATCCAGTAGATATAGTGTACTTAGATTTCCAGAAAGCTTTTGACAAGGTGCCTCACCAAAGGCTCTTAAGTAAAATTAGTTGACATGGGATAAGAGGGAAGGTCCTCTCATGGATTCAAAACTGGTTAAAGGACAGAAAACAAAGGGTAGGAATAAATGGTCAGTTTTCAGAATGGAGAGAGGTAAATAGTGGTGTCCCCAAAAAGTCAGTCCTGGGACCAATCCTATTCAGCTTTTCATAAATGATCTGGACAATGGGGAAAGCAATGATCTGACAAAATTTGCAGATGATTTCAAACCGCTCAAGAGAGTAAAGTCCAAAGCAGACTGTGGAGAGCTTCAAAAGGATCTCACAAAACTGAATGACTGGGCAACAAAATGCCAAATGAATTGTAATGTTTATAAATGTAAAGGAATGGGTTTTTTATTCAAGACACTAGAGTACTCAGAACTTGCAGACAAAGCAGTGTATTTGCTGATACCACTTGCTACTACGTTCTGGTGCGAGGCAGTGTTTTCATCACTTACCACCCTCAAGTCCAAAGGATGAATGCAGAACATGAGTATGAGCCGTGTGCTTTCATTGGTGGACCAAAATTTATTAATTCTTATTAAAGCTTTTTAATATAGCACTGTTATCCAAAGCACTTTACAATAGTTAGCTAATGATGCAAATAAAATTTGGTGAGTTCATTGGGTGCTTGCCGAGACCCTGAGCAATTTCAGGTGGTTCATGGAAAAAGTTTGAGAACACTGGCGAGATGATGGTGGTGCTATTTATCTCCCTCCCTGTGACCGACAAAAGCCACCCTGGCCTCTGCCCCAAACCTCTCCTTTCCAGCTAACCCAGAGGCTTGTCCTTTGGAATCCCTGCATTTGTCCTCCTAGCTTCAAAATTCATCCTCTTCCATATCCTGAGCCATGCCGCAGGACAAAAGGCTTTCACCCGACACCCACTGCAGAGACCTGGCCTGCTACGAGCTCCATCCAGGAGGAACTAACAGCAATGGAAAGCTAAACAAATAAGCCATACAAAGGTTTCTGCCTGCAGGGTCTTTAGCTGAGATTTACAACTCACAAGCTGTGTGATGCCCGATCGCCCCTGTGTGTCACACAAACATGGCTCCCAACCATTGGCCATTCTCATACAGCTTCCAGGCTTCCCTCTCTGCTTCTCACTGTCCAATAGGCCTCATCATTGTATCCTTGTTGCTGGCTTCTTGTCAGTCTGTAGCATCTCCGGTCCCATCCCTGGTTCTGAGGAAGGCCAGTTATCACGGATGGAGGTCAGGATGATCCAGGGAGAAGGGGAGGAGAGGTATGAGTGAGAGTATGGGCACTTGTGGGAACATGTCAGAATAGAGGTGGAGATGTTGGGATGCAATGGAACAGAGGGTGGGGCCTTTGGGAAAAAAGGTGGGGCAAGAGGGCCCGGTTTTCAGATAATAGGCAGGGAGGGCACAGGGCCTCAGGGGTCTAAATACCAGAAATCAGAAAGCTGGAAACCCTATGGCTGTGTCTACACTGGGCCACTTATTCCGGAAAATCAGCCGCTTTTGTGGAATAAGCTGCGAGCTGTCTACACTGGCCCTTGAATTTCCGGAAAAGCAACGACACTCTACTGTACAAAATCAGCCGCTATTCTGGAAAAACTATTCTGCTCCCGCTCGGGCATAAGTCCTTATTCCGGAACACTGTTCCGGAAAAGGGCCAGTGTAGACAGCCCAGTAGTCTTTTCCGGAAAAGCGCGTCTACATTGGCCACAGACGCTTTTCCAGAAAAGCAGCCTGCCAATGTAGACGCTCCTTTTCCGGAAAAACTGAAAACGGAATAGTATTCCATATTAAGCAGTTCCAGAAATTCATGCCAGTGTAGACACAGCCTATGAGTTAAAAATGCCTAGGACAGCCTGGTAAGGGATTCAGGGAAGAGGGCCCGACACCATGTCACAACCCAGCTCTATACAGACATTGGTCTGCGAGGCAGAGCACCGGGTGAAAACCTCAGGCACCTTTACAAATAAAAAGATGCAGCAGCCTGCCCCAGATCTGTTTGGTCCTCACCCCATAGATGATGGGGTTGAGCATGGGGGGCATCAAGTAGTACACATTGGTAAAGAGAACATGGAAATGCTGAGGGACTGTCTGGTCAAACCGAGTTGCAAGGGACAAGAAAAGACCTGGGATGTAAAATACCAAAATGGAACAGAGATGGGAGATGCAGGTCCCAAAAGTCTTGAGCCGAGCGTCCTTTGTGGGGAGGTTGAAGATGGCCCTGAGGATCTGGGTGTAGGACACAACAATAAAAATCGCATCCAGACCCATCACACAGAAAAGCACGAAGAGACCGTAGTAGCTACTGACACTGGTGTCGCCACAGGCCAGCTTCACCACGGCCATGTGTGCGCAGTAAGCCTGGGAGATTCTGTTAGTTCTGCAATATGACCACTGCCTCACCAGGAAGGGATAGGGCAGGATGAGTACACCACCCCGAAGCACCACAGCCAGGCCAATCTTGCTCACCACGGGGTTTGTCAGGATGGTGGAATGTCGCAGGGGATCACAAATGGCCACGTAGCGATCTACAGCCATGGCCACAAAGATCCCAGACTCCATCACTGAGAAGCTGTGAAAGACATAGAGCTGGGTGAGGCAGGCATTGAAATTGATCTCGCTGGAATTGAACCAGAAGATGCTCAGCATTTTGGGCAGGATGGAAGTGGACAGGACCAGGTCAGTAACAGCCAGCATGCAGAGGAAATAGTACATGGGCTCATGGAGACTGGGCTCCTTCTTCACAATGAACAGGATGGTGAAGTTCCCCAAGAGGGCTATGGCGTACATGGCGCAGAAGGGAATGGCAATCCAGACATGGGCTGCCTCCAGTCCAGGAATTCCCAGCAAGATGAAGACAGAAGGGTTGGTGAAATCAGTTTTGTTGGAACCTGACATGGAATGAAGTAGAATGTGTCGAACTCTGAAGCAGAACAGACTCTTCTGCATGTGTTGAGCGTTCCTCTGACTTCTTTTAAGTGTCCGGGATCCACAGTGATGGTCACAGTACGAATGCCTGCAAGGGGCGACAATGTTAATATGAGACACCGCGTTGCATGACCGCGCGCTGTTCTGTTGGGTGACAGACATGGGCTACGTCTAGACTGGCATGATTTTCCGGAAAAGTTTTCCATTAAAAGCATTTTTGGAAAAGAGCGTCTAATTTGGCACGGATGCTTTTCCGCAAAAGCACTTTTTGCGGAAAAGCATCCATGCCAATCTAGACGCGCTTTTGCGCAAAAAAGCCCCGATCGCCATCTTAGCCATCGGGGCTTTTTTTGCAAAACAGTCCTGTGCTGTCTACACTGGCCCTCTTGTGCAAATGATTTGCGCAAGAGGGCTTTTGCCCGAACGGGAGCAGCACAGTATTTCTGCAAGAACACTGACAATCTTACATGAGATCGTCAATGTTCTTGTGGAAATTCAAGCGGCCAGTGTAGACAGCTGGCAAGTTTTTCCGCAAAAGCAGCTGATTTTGCGGAAAAACTGGCCAGTCTAGACACAGCCATGGGTTGTTCTTCACAAACTAAAAATGACATTTTCATTATGCAGAGAAATGAACTATGCGCCAGTAGGTCTACTAATGCAAATTCTATATTTTATGGCACTCCATTTGTCACTAATGTGTCGTGGGGTGGGAGATGTCCATTGGCACAGCAGGAAAATATGAGTTAGGACACCCCTTATCTATCTTTGTCCCTTGATGCCTTTAAAGCCAGGCTAGAGAGTTCAAGCAGTAGGTAGTCCCTACTTGGCTGGAAAGTTGAGAGTCGGGAAAAAACCAAACAAACCTTTTCTATGACATGAGCCGGGAACCATCCCAATTAGAACAGACCTCATCCGAAACCCTGGGCGATATTGATAGCAGCTGCCCAAAAGTGAAACTAGGTTTGTGTGCCAAAGGAATGGGATGGAGAAGAACTGGCACAGGACATGTGCTCAGTTTTCCTCTCTAGTCCCTATAAAGGATACAACTGATGCAAAGAGATTTTCTGAAACAGGTGATGAGAATGGGGGACGCTGCCCTATGTGGACAGATTGAAATGTCTGGGACTCTTTACTTTGGAGAAGAGAAAAAAGCAAGTGGGAGATGATAGAAAAGAAGATGTTCACAATTGAATTCATTGTATTGAAATGGAAAATGAGGGAAACTTTCCAACTAGTAATAGCTATAGACAGTTAGTGCTTCAGACGAGCTAGTACCCCAAAGCTGAGGGAAATTATCAGCAGAATTGATTGGGAGGAAAAAATAGACCAAACGGAAACAAAAATTGAAAATTATTTAAGACAAGATTATTAGATAGCACAAAGTGACCATTCTGCAGTCAATGCTGGTGAAAAACAGGCTAAAAACTTAGTAGAGAGAATAAGGTAAGAAAGAAATGAGGGAGAGGGGGACAATATATAACAAAAGGGGGAAAGGGAAAAAAAAGCAAGGAATGCAAATTGGAAGTAATGAAAATTAATGAGGGATGTTGAAAACATCACGGAAATATCCATGATTAGCAGAGCTAGGGATGACAAAAAGGAGGGTTTTAGGTTTTAAGAGCAAAGGAAAGCCAAAGAAGATTTAACCAGTTCCTAAAGGGAGAAAGGAAACTTGTTAATGTTGCAGCAAAGATCGATATGTTCAAGAAATAGTTTTGTTTTTCATTTGGAAAAAAGCAGTATTATATCCTCCTATGACGTGAGAGGTGAAATACATTCCAGTCTATGAGCATCCAAGAAGAAGGTTAAAAAATATGAACAGTTGAACATTTGAATTGTGAACACTACAACCGCACACTGCCCAATCAATCACACATCTCATGTGGAATCAGAAGTCTGAAACCAGGCAGCAAATGCTAAATATAGACATTAAATAAATAAAGGCAAATGAAAGGCATTTTCTGTTTCATGTAATTAAAAAAAGACAAACTATCTTGTTAGTCTTCAAAGTGCTGCATAGTCCTGTTTTAGCTATTGGGAGTAACTGTGAAGAGAAGTGGTGGATTCTCCAACTCAGCACATCTCCAGATCCAGACTGGATGCTTTAATGGAAGGTTAGTAGGAGGTCTTGTCTACACTTAACATGCCACAGCGGCACTGCAAGAAGCCTTGGGTCACAGTGAGGTGCCTACCACTGCCATGTTTCCCAGATAAAAGTCAAATAGCGGCCACCCCGTTACCAGCCAGAGCCCAGAGGAGAAGTAACAGTGTCCGTACCTGCACACACACCTGCCCCCTGAAGTTGTTACTTAATTCTTACTCTGGTTTTGCCTCAGGTGGTACTGAGGAAACATGGGGCCCCAGCCTCAGGATTTTGGTTTCTATTGTACATCTAGTAACATTCATTTTCCTTCTGAAGGATTCCCTGTGCCACTGAAATGGAGCCAGGGCCGGCAGAAAAAAGAATGGGGTGTTGACCCAGACCAGTGGAAGAAATCCACCCCTCTGGCAAGGGCCGTGGGAGGTGTAGAGTCTGTTCAGAGCAAAAAGGACCATTTATTTCTGCACTATCCCAGCACACCCATGTTGCGCTAGGTTGTTGAGTGGGGGAGTTCCTCAGCAACACATGGGTACCTGTGAATCCTGAGACCAGAGTGTCTTTCCTGGGAATCTCCCTCAAGTAGCCGTATCCTGCTCCTCTCTCAGCCCAGCATCTGCAGCAACAGCCGACGCTGAAAGCTGATGCAGGGATGGCACCATTTATAAGGCAGCTCTGTGCCCTCCCACGGGGGTTCACGCCGCGTCTGGGGGAGAAGCAGCATCTGGATGTAAACAAGCTGGAGACGGGAGGCCCTCAGTCCGTTGTCCCTGTTCTTATTCCTGTATGTCTGGGCTACCTATCCAGGGTTAGTGGTAAACAGTAATTATGGGACCTTCCCAGGGGGAGGTGAGACGATTCAGGCTCCTGCTGAGCCAGAGAGGAATTGGCTGCTCTGTGTATTTGTTTGAATGTTTAAGTTGAAGTTGATTAGTAAGGAAAGGAGAGATTCGTGCCTAGGAGATCTGATGCCACGTAAATATCCGTGATGGTGGGGTGGATAGTAGAGACACAGATGCGGAGACAGATGACTGAGGAGGCCCTGCTTGTGGTGTGGGGCTGACACAGTTCCCTGGTGTGCAAGCTGCCATGTGGTCAGCTCTGAGTCCTTTGGTCTGTGCTGCCTCTTGGCCCAGGCACTGTCTTCTCTCTGTTGGATGGGTATGATGGACCGGGCTGGGTCTGAGCACTGTTGAGGGCATCAGCTTAGGGTGAATTTCTCAAAACCAGGGCTACTTACAGCCCTCAACTGGAGACCAAAACCATATAGGCCACAAACCAGTCAGACTGGGTACATCTAAACTAGATGGCTCTGTCGACAGAGCCATGTAGATTAGTTTACTCAAAAAAGGGAAATGAAGCGGCGATTTAAATAATTGCCGCTTCATTTAAATCAAAATGGCTGCCACGCCATGCCAATCTGCTGTTTGGTGGCACAGCACAGCAGTCTAGATGGGGGATCTGCCGACTCAAGATTCCTTTGTCAGCAGATCCTGTAAGCCTTGTTTGACGAGGCATAAAGGATCTGCCGATGAAGGGTTCTGGGATCGGTAGATCCCTGTCTAGACTGCTGTGCTGTGCCGACAGACAGCTGATCGGCACAGCGCGGTGAAAATTTTGATTTAAATGAAGCAACTATTATTTAAATCGCCCCTTCATTTCCCTTTGTCATCCTGCCTCGTCTACATGGCTCTGTCGATGGAGCCATGTCATCTAGACACGCCTACTGAGAGCTTCTGCTGCCCATCTGGCCAGCAAAATTCCTTAGATACCTCAGCTCTTCTGGTGCTACAATCAGCCTCAGGCTTACACACAGGTGAGGGGTTATAAAACCTGATCTCACCTACTCGGAACAGATCCTCCAGGTCCCAAAGAACCAGTCACAGTCCCTGGTCAACTTGCACTTTAGATCTTACCCACGAGAGCACACTGAGACAATCCTTTAGAATCTAAAATCTAAAGGTGTATTAATAAAAGAAAGAAAAGGTGGAGAGTAAGATTGCTAAGGAGAATATATTACATACATAATTACCAAGATGCTGGCTCTTACCAGAGCTGTTACAAACTTCTAGCTTAAAAGTCTCTGGTGTACATCCTGTATTAGGATGGGTCAGCAATCCTTCCCAGATCTCTGTAATCAGTAGCAAGATTGAAGACAAGATGGAGACAGCCTCCTGGCACATTTATATTCCTTTGACACCTCACATGCCCCCCTTTGTACAGAAATGGGGGCTACCCTCCTTCTCCCGTGGGTGCAACAGTGATCAGTCTACTCACTTTAAAATCCAAAAACGTGACAAAGGGTCATACGTGTTTTCTCAGACGGCCATTTCCTTAGCCTCAGTAACATCCTCAATTAAAGAGATGGGGTGTTTTGAAAAGAGGATTAAAGAAAAAATCCAGACCCGGATTAGGGTCCCTTTGTCACCTCTCTTCCCATTGCTGAGAGGTCAGTGGTATGACAGCTTCCCTGTGCCATGTCACAACACAGTTCCATCTCAGAGCCTGACCCACAGGCTGGGTGGCTGGGTGCAGGGAGGTGGAACCAACCCATCTGCCCTGGTCACATTCCCACCATTGACCAGTGAGGTGATATTCCCGTGCCAGCACTAGTCCTCCACCAGATTCCTCCTCCGCCAGACCCCCCCAGGACACAAACCTCTCTGCTCAGATGGGGTCTGTCCCCTGCTCATCTGGGGTGGGCTCAGAGCCAACAATCTGGACAGGTGGGTCAGGGGCAGGTATCACGTCCCCATCCCTGTCTGAGGTGGGGTTGCCTCCTGCTGCAGGTTTATTCACCACAGAGTCTTGTCTAAGCTCAAACCACCCGCTAGAGAAGCCATCACCTCATCCACAGCTGTCACCTTTGTGT